AGCAGTACAGCAAGGACTCCAAAGCTAGGAGGAAATTTCAGTCTTGATAAATGTATTTAGAACACTGCAATCAAAAAAATCTGTAAATGAATTATTCTAACTATATCCATGGGTTTTATGCTCTTTTGGCTTCGTGTAGTCTTTGTCTCGAATGACACGTGAGGGATGGGGATGGGATCGTGTTTGCGGCATTGTAGCTTCTAGGGTCTTCTCCCTGCTCAGGTTAAGTGCTGAGGAGGCATGGAGAGAGCCAGGGATTTTTAAAAATGCAGTTTGGGGCTTGAGATGTTTTGATAAATGTTGGTTGTGTGTGGACACAATGTAAGGGCCTACTTAGCCAGAGTAAGCCATTTTGTTGTTTATGCAGTAAACTTAAATTGACCCTGCCCCCCAAGAGGAACTTACTTAGAAACAAGTCTGGGAAACCAGTAAAATATGACTGACCAGCCCCTGATAACAGAGCCCATAATACAAGGATGAGTCAAGCCAGGTGGAGACATCCAATCAGGAAAACACCTCCCTAACCACCCAAGAATGTGGGCCCTGCCTTTTGGGTGCCAATTCTGACCAGAGTGATAGGCTAGTTCAAATAGCTACTATGGGTGAATTGTAATTCAATTGGCCACCTGTGTGTGGCCAGGTTCAGCCACATGGCCTTTGCTCTATAAAAGTTAGTCTGTGAGACTGGGAGGGGTCGCCTCTTTGTAAGAGATGGCCCTGGCCAGTCAGTTTGATTCTCGATGCTTGGCGTGAAATAAAGCTTTGCTTGACCTTCGCTTTGTATCAGTCTCACTCCTTTGACCATGGACCCAACACACAAAGGCAGGTGGTTGACTCCAGGAGGTACGCGATGCCTGAAGGCGTGGAAAGCCCTCCCAGGAGAGGTCACCCTCCCAGGAGAGGTCACACAGGAGCGGACACTGGCGGAAGGAGGATCCTTAGCAGACTGACCTGAGTCAATGGGGAGAAGGAGGGCATTTCACCCAGAGGAGGCTGTAAGTGAAGACGTGGGAATCAGGGAAGTTGGAGGCAAGAGCAGGGGGGCCAGAACACAGAGAGACCCTTCCAGGCCGTACATCTGAGCATGGATGTCTGTCCCACAGGCAGTGACATTTCCCACCTAACCCAGCACTGCAGGTCCTTCTCTTGGCTGGTGTCCAGTGAACATGGGCTGAGCTAGCAGAGGAATGACTTCGGCCCCGCAGAAGGCCAAGTGTGTCCTTAGCTCGACCATGTGTGGATATGCGTGTGTGTGTGCATCCGGGGTTTACAGAGGATGTCAAGTATAGGAGGCTAGAGCCTCAGCACAGCCACTGAACACGGCTGGGCCCCCAGGCCACACTTTAGTCTGCCTGTGTCCCAGTGACCTCAGGGCAGCCCCTTCCTTCCTCCTTAGCTCACCTCACCCCATTAGGTCAAAGTGTTTGCTCCTTGAACAGAGGCACTCTCCTTCCTGCTTTCCTCCTGTTCTTTACAACTGAAGATGGAAATAGCTCCTTCTCTAAGGAAAGCAGAAACACCAGGAGGGCGCTCCCTCGGAAGCCTTTCTCTCTGCCTTCAATTTAATTCCAGACCACAGCTCACCCTCTCCTCTCTGTGACCAGTTCTCTGTCTCAGGCTCTGGCCTCGCTCCTCCTCAGTCAAGGGGACCTGATCTCCTTGATGGTGCTCCCTCCAGTGCCTCCTCAGCACCCCAAACCAGTCTCACTCCACACCTTCACGTGTCGGTTAATTTATGTGTCACTTTTCAACACTGAAACAGCTTGTCCGTCTTCTTTCCCTATATAGGTTGAAGCTGCTCCTGGGAATGGTCCAATACCTTTCACCTTTTCAAATGTCTCACAGTCCTATGTGCTTCCACAACACATCTGCATGGGTTTGAATCCATTTCTCAGGTAAAGCTGTTTGGCTGTTTCATGCTATTATATTACAAGCGATCACCAATCTTCTATAGAAGTATTACACATTTTACATCAATATGACCAAACATTTCCCACATTAATAAAATGAAAACAGTGCTTCTTGCTTTTCTGAACAAAGGACTACTATCAATGGCTACTAGTCCCTGGCTTTCTCGGACACTGGCTTCTTTAAACTTCCGATGGCCACTGAGATGTCTGAGAGTGTGACTAAGGGAGGCCTCTGAATCCCAACACAGAGGGAGAATTCATAAGATGTCTGTTCTTCTTCTATGGTTCTCCTTCTACAGAAAAGGACCTTCTACTCAACTGCGGGATTTGAGTTAGCTGGAACAGTATTTACATTTGCAAATGAGGGCCTGGATAAGTATAATATTGACTTTGGACACTTACAACTGGAGAATCCAAGGGGAGGACACTGAAATGTTTTGTACAGCAATGTTACTAATCACGATGTTTGAAGGTTCATTACTGACACCAGCAGCCAAAGCATTTTGATGGAGAAACCCATACCTGACCGGACAGATCAATAATTGGTAAACAAAATCTGGGGAACATGGACTTACATATTTTTTAACTCTGTGAAATTTACCAAAGTGTACTTGGCTGCTGTAGTGGGGATATAGATAGGTACCCTGACCTTTGGAAGGCAATTTGGCAAGCCTTAAATGGTCCATATCCTTTCACCTTCTCACTTTATTTCTAAGATCAGCACACACAAAAAGTCATATTCACAGGGAAGAAAAATCCTAAAAATATAATGCACTATTGGTGTTTGTTCCAGTTCTATTTATGGGAGCCAACACACACACACACATACACACACACACACACACACCCCTACAGAACTTCAAACATTCAGGGAATAACATCAATGGGATTTTATTCAGTTATTAACAAGATATTTACAAAACAAATTCATTATGACTTAAAAAACAGTTTGCTATGCGATTCTAACTGAAAATAGATTATAGAATTTTGCTGTGTAAAAATTCACGCTAAAAGACTATTAATTTAATAAGGGTGACAGAATTATGGTGGTTTTCCCATAATGTTTCACATTTTCTGTTACACCCAAACATACAGCCATACTTCTAGTAAATAATTTTGAAAGAATATTTAGTAGAGCTCATATGACCATGGAGAGTGTTTATGTCTAATAATAAGTAAAATGTTATATAGAGAATGAAGAGGATTATCCATGATCTCAGATACGTAAAAGATGAAGAAAAAGGAGTGTGTGTATTGGGGGCAACCGTAAGAACAAGAAGAGATATGTATCTTCAAAATATATAAAATAAATAAAGGAAATAACAAATATTTACAAAGGTCCCCCTCTCTGAAGAGTTTGTAGTTAGAAATGAAAGGTAATTTTTAATCCTTCCTTCTACTTTTCTCTTTTCCAGTATTTTAAGTCGATGAGAATATTTACTTTAAAAACTCAATACTCTTTCAAATAAAAGAGCATTTCCTTCTATCTTGACCCCTTGATCACTAGCTAGAATATCATCCTGGCAGATAAATAAGACCTTTAAAGAGCGCTTAGAGAACACATTCTGTTACCATCCCTTTAAAAGTTGATCTGGGGGCACCTGACTGGCTACAGTCAGTAGAGCTCGTGACTCTTGATCTCAGGGTCGTCAGTTCAAGCCCCACATTGGGCGCAGAGATGACTTTATATAAAAGTTGACACTGTCTTTTCTTCTGTGTACTAATGTCTATCCCTCAAGCCTCAGTTTCCTACTAGCTCTTCAAATCTCAGCCGAGATCTCTATATAATACCATGACCTCTGCTAACGCTGTTCACCTGTCACTAGTAAATTCTCATCAGGCATCATCCCCCCCCCCCTCCTTTTTTTTTTAAGAATTTATTTATTTGACAGAGAGTGAGAAAAGGAGAGAGAGCACAAGCAGGGGGAGCAGCAGAAGGAAAGGGGGAAGCAGGCTCCCTATTCAGCAGGGTAAACGATGTGGGGATCGATCCTAGGACCCCGAGATCATGCCTGAGCTGAAGGCAGAGGCTTAACCCACTGAGCCACCCAGGTGCCCCAGGGCATCATTTCCGTTTTTGAAACAAAAGACAAACCAAAACAGTAGGCAAAATGTCCACTCTTGAATCCAGATTTTCTGTCAAGAGCAGATGAGTAAATCCGTGTCAATCCCAATCCTGGCAGGAGATTAGGGTCTGTGCTTACTTCTCCTGTTCTTGGTAAAGAGAAAAGAAACGGCTCTTTCATACGCACCAGGACTCTGTTCCTCAAATTCTTTTGGATGAACTTTTGGAATGGGAGTATATGGCTGGCGGAACAACGACACTCCCCTCTCCCCAAATTTCCACATCTTAATTTCCAGAACATGACACAGCAAAGAGGAATCAAGATTACAGATGGAATTAAGGTAGGTAATCAGCTGACTTGAAAACAGATTATCCTGGACCATCCAGGTGGGCCCAATGTAATCAAGGGTCTTCAAAAGTGGAAGAGGGTGGCCATAGAAAGTCCTATGATACAAGACTGTGTGCCATCTTGCATGGTCCTCGAGTGCAAGGCCAAACTAATGACCAAGAGCCTGGGGTTCAGCACAGTGGACATTCTAGTCCCCAGCAGTTCACCCAGGTTCTCTGAGTGCCTCTGTGGAGCCCTGCGATGCACAGGCAGGGTGGCCGCTGCCCTGGGTGTGGAAGTGCCTGACAAGAGGAAGAGCCCAATCCCAGGGATGCTCCTGGCCTGTGGCTCCTTCATCCCGTCATCAGCACACACCTGTGCCTGTGTGAGGTGGTCAGAGACCATCAGGGAGGGGAAAAGGGAGTGGGGATTAGATCCAATGGGAGAACTGGTTGGATTGGACCTTCTGGAGCTTTAACAGCTGTTGTCACCATCACCGTTATTAAAACTACTCAGAGTACAAATCCACAGCATAACTGGTGGTAAGCACTTAGTTCTTCCATCATATTTGGAGAGCTAACACCTCTTAGCCCTGACACATATGGACAGGTCAGGTCCCTGGCCATATAGTGGAACATTTCTCAGGTCCACTACCCCCTGCCATCTCATGCTGCTGGCAGCTGGTAGGCTGAGACCAGGGGTGCTGCAAGATATCCTACAGTGCAGTGCATAAGATAGACACCACAACATAAACGCCTGGCCCAAAAGGTCAGTAATGCTGAGGTTCAAGAACCCTGGTCTAAAGGGAGACTGGGGAGACTGTATCTTTTTTTAATAAGGAAGAAATATTTATTTCATTCTGAAACCAGCATTAGGGAGGTGGACCCCTGGTCAGTACAAGGAAGAACTTATTTTATTTTTTGTTTTTTAATTTTTAAAAGAGATTTTATTTATTTATTTGACAGAGAGAGAGGGAGCGCGAGAGAGGGAACACAAGCAGGGGCAGAGGGAGAAGCAAGCTTCCTGCTGAGCAGGGAGCCCTGTGTGGGGCTGGATCCCAGGACCCTGGGATCATGAGCTGAGCTGAAGGCAGACGCTTAATGACTGAGCCACCCAGGCGCCCCAAGGAAGAACTTTCTAATAATCAGGCTGTTGTGAGGTAGACCTCTGTGGGGAGAGTGCTCTGTCACAAGAAGGGTTCAAGCACCACTAGAAGTTCTTGCCTCATCCTTGCTAATATTACAACTCAGAAAGAGAAGAGAGTACCTGCTCTATTCATATTACGTTCTCCCTCCCATATTAGCTAAGGGAATCAAAACTACACGTGGACATTATCTCAAATGTCCAACTTCCCAAGCGACTTCTGCAAAAGTGTGTGAAGCCTCTTACCTCAGGCACAGTCGATACAACTCTTGTGTAATCATTTCACAACCTAAGAAAAGACACAGGGTCCAAAAAGCAGAGTAAGAAGCAGTTCCCTGTTCTGACAGTAACTGAATGAAAGAGACACTGATAAACCAAAATCCTCAACAGCTGCAAACAAAATAAAATTAATTGATTCTACTCCCATTTTGGAAATGGAAATTCATCTGCAACCAGTTTCCCAACATTTGGTGTCCTCTATAGCTTTAAGGCTATAAATATTCAAAGTTCCCCAAGACCACAGGGCAGTTTGCTGACTGACATCCTGGAAGGCAAGCCTTACCTTTCACACCAGAGAAACCACCTCTCTCTGAACTCTCTGAATTGTAAGGGCTTTCACAACTGGAAGTTTCTTCAAAAGGACAACCACAGAACAATAACCAGACTGATGAGGGAACAAGGCAACAGGGCCATATGAGCAGCTGCTCAAGGAACCAGGGGTCTTGGCTCTGGGAAGCCCCAGATGGCACATAAGAGCTCCAGTTCTACAGAAAAAGGGCACGAATGGGAACGCAGAACATAGGACCCTGTAGCGGGAGCTTTTCGACAATTATGCTATTCTAGCAGAGGAGCAATTGAAAAGGTCTGGGGACTCCCAAAAAGGATCCTGAAAAAGGGATTCCTGCAATGGATGAGGGTAGAAGCGGGATGGATGGGCAGGACTAGTTAGACTTAAACCTGAACTTTCAGATCCGAAGCCTGTGAGGGCCAGCCAGGTAACTCAAATGAGCTAAACAGGACATGAGTAACAGACAAATCAGTGGTGGGGACTGTGGCAAAGACCATCCAGAGAGGAACACCGCATGCTGTTCTAGCAGGTGTTACCATGTTCCCTCTCTCTCTGCCTGCCTCTCTGACTACTTGTGATCTCTGTGTGTCAAATAAATAAATAAAATCTTTTAAAAAAAAATCTGATTTTTAAAGGGTAACAGCCAATTCAATATTTCAAAACATAAATCAAAGAGCATCATTAGGCGCCTCTAGGAGAAACCATAGCCTCTCCCTAAACGATGCCCCGACCACTCCCAATCCTAAGGGTCTATACAGATCCCATAATCCCTGTCATATTTTGTCTGCCGTTTGAATCACCAGACGGGCCACTTCAAGCCGAAATCGGATGCTCTGGCCGGTAAATCATTAATGGGGTCTAGCAAGGGAAGGTAACCAGGAGCCCAATGAGTCACCAAGAGCCCAGTCCTCCACTGCACACCGTGTAAATGAGGAAGGACCTCTATTTTCTTCCACACAGACACATCTCCTCCCCATCAGCACACGTCAAAATGAGGCAGGAAAGAGAAACAGGGTTGCCTCATTGCGGTGGTTAGTCGTCCTGACCCCTGAGAAGGTCAACCGTACCCTCCAGGGTAAACAACTTCAACACTCTTCCCTGGCCCTCTAAAATGTCGTCAGTGATCAACCGGGGAAAGTTCAAGAGTCCCCTGTGAGAGAGAATGCTTCACTAAGGGAAACAGCCCTATTCAACTCTGGTTCACAGCCCTCTCCAGAAATTCTGCTGCCACGTATAGATTTTCAATTATCAACAGATCTTTGCACTCAGATATCTGCACATGGCTGTATCCAGGACAAAGGCAAATGTGCTAACTTTCTTCTGAATTTTTATTCCAGTTCCCAGACTCAGTCTTATGTGGGATTCTACCTAATCACACTCAGCTCCCCAGAGTAAGCCAGCTAAGACTGTAGCATTATTTCCCTCCATTCTAGGGTGGTGTGTTTTGTGGGTAACTCTTAGTTAGGATTTTCCAACCTTCTGAGCAGATCGAAATATGTTTTACGTACAAGAAACATAATTTGTTGGAAAGAATAAACTGAGTCAAAAGAATTACTTTTATTATAAAATTATTATAAAATTTTTGAAAATGAAGCACAGGAAATTCAAAGTCACACACCATTAGCAAATAATAGTAATAATGTCTTACGTTACCCTTAAGAGCATAATGACTAGCTTATTTCTTTTTACCGGAGGAGTGGACCAGGTGTAGCAATGTCATCGTAGCTAGGTAGATGGGACATGTGAGAGAGAAGCATAAAGGAATTTCCTACGATATCTCCCGAAGCAGTTCTACCCACCCACTTCTACCACGGTCTGCTGGGTCACCATGATCAACCCAGGGCAGGTCTCCTTACAGCTCTTCTCTTCCTGTGACCCACTCTTCACACTGCACCCACAGTGACCTCTGAAGCAATCTATCACGTCACGCCTCTGCCTTTGGCTTCCCACTGTACTTCAAGTCCAGACGGCGAACCTTGGCCTATGGGGCTCTGCATGACCTGGCCCCCAGCCTTCAACCTCACTCCACCAGCTGCACTGCCCTCCCACTATGCCTGGAACACACTGAGCTTGGTGTCAGGACTGTGTGATTGTGGGTCTCTGCACCAGAACAATCTGTCAGTATTCTGGGGGCTCATCTCAAGGTCATCCCTCAGAAAGATGTCACATTAGGGGGCTCCTGGGTGGCTCATTGGGTTAAGCATCTGCCTTTGGCTCAGGTCGTGATCCCTGGAATTGAGCCCCATGTTGGGCTCCCTGATTGGCGCAAAGTCGCTTCTCCTTCTCCCTCTGCCCCTCCTCCCTGCTCTTGCTCTCTCTCTCTCTCTCTCTCTCTCTCCCCCTCTCAAATAAATAAATAAAATCTTAAAAAAGAGAGGGAGAAAAGAAAGATAGCTCTCTCCTTAAAACCCAGTCTAAGGGCCACCTGGGTGACTCAGTTGGTTAAAGCATCTGACACTTGGTTTCGACTCAGGTCCTGAACTTGGGATTGTGGGATTGAACCTGGCTCAGTGTGGATGGAGTCGGCTTGTCCCTCTCCCTCTGTTCCTTCCCCTGCTTGCTCTCATGCGCTCTCTCTCTCAAATAAATAAATAAAATCTAGAAAAAAATAAAACCCAATCTAAGAAGCTGGGGCCTTCCAACTTGTCCATCTCTCTCTCTCTCTCTATCTCACACACACACACACACACACACACACACACATCACGGTACTCTACCACGGCCGTTTCCTTTTCTCCAAAACATCTAGTAGTATCTGAATTTGCCTTGCTCATCCCTCGATTCTAGAACAGGGAGTCCATAAGGACAGAGACCATATCTGTCTTATTCACTGCATTGTACTCAGTGCCATGCACATAGTAGGTGTTCAATAAGTATCTCTTGAAGTCAGTGAAGGAATAAACAAAACTATCCCATTTAATCCAATCAATATTGATTCTTAATAGCAGGCTTTTTCTTTCTCAACTGCTAAGTTTTTTTTTTTTTCAAACTACAAGCCTATATATATTAGACTGTTTCTATTAGTGTGTTCTGAGTCATACCTGCAAAACAGAGCAAGTGACAGTGAAGGTACGTAACAGGTGCCTGGCTTCATAGAAAGAGACGGTACAAATCTGCTGTGCATTCCTTCAAAATACAGAGATTCCTCAGAATTCTGGGACAGCGCGATTTTACAACTAGATGTTCCCCTTTAGGGGCTCTTCACTCAATACTTTCTCTTCAGTGCTTCACTTTCGTGGAAATTTCTCAGTGTCTCAAGAGGACACTCTAGCCAATTATCCGATGAGGCTTCAGAGGAACCAAGGTATACATAACCTGATGATCACCTTCCTTTCCAGGAAATACCCATTTTCTGGGGTGTCCCTGAAAGGAACACAGATTCCTAAACTCCAGCTGACATTCCTAAGGGACCCCACTCCTGCAGTTTCCTTACTGCTCTGTGATGAGTCTCAAACAGGATGGGAATGTGTATTAGCCGGGAAACCTCACTGGGTCGGGAATGCATATCCCTCACCAATGGCGTTCAAAGGGCACAGACATCCAATGGACAGGAAACGAGGAAACAGCTGCCCAGGGAGGGGTCTGTTTTTGGGAAAGCCTTTGGGTGCTGGGCATGCCCTTATCACACCTCAGAAGGGATTTCACAACCGTAAAATGAGTGATTGAACCAGATTAATATCCCTCACAACTCCCCAGTGTCAGCCTTGAGCACAGAGGGCCCAGTTTCGCCAAGAGCATCACCATGCCTCCACAGCAGCGACTCCTGTGCGAATGTCTGGGGAAGGGAAGGAACACTCAGGGTCCATGTGCAACGTGTGCAAGCTGGAAAATGCCAAGGGCGTGGGATCTCTCACCAGCTTCTAGGGGACCACCAAAATTCCCTCTGTGAGGAAATCCGCTGGGGTGCCAGCAGCTCGCCTGCGCCTTGTGGTGGCCCATACTTAATGCCTGGGTCCCTGAGTGGCATGGGAGCCCACGATTTTGTCCTGAGCCTTGTGCGACTGTCAACGCTTTATGGAATACACTTACCAGCTCCTACTTAACATACCAGGCTCCCAGCTCAGGGTTCTCACTTGGGTCAAAGGTAATTTACACAAGACTGATGTGTTCACACAAAGCTCTCCTAAACCTGAGCTTCTGTGTCCTTCAAAAAAAAAACCTGCAAGCGCCCTTCTCTGATTCCCACACACGTCTGCGTCGTCCTTCCTCATCACCTCTGCAGCAACCCCAAGAACCGCAGTCCTGAATGCAAGCCTGACCTTTTAGTTTGGGGAGCTAGAAACTTCCACCACAAACTCCCGAGTGTGGTGGGGGAAGACAAGGTTCTTTGAGGCCTGATCTATCTGACTTTCTGTAAGCAAGCTTCCCCTTTACTCCGGATCGAGCAGGATCTTATCTGAGCCGCGGTGGGGGAGCTCTGAGATGCGCGGCGCAGGCGAGCACGACAGAGAGAGTGTTCCGTTTTTGTAATTCTGTTCCTACAACAGCTGCTCTGAACTGGGCTCCGGAAAATGCAGTGCTCCGCAGAGAGGTGTTCCTTGTTTTGTCCCAGCGGAGATCTAGAGATAAGAAATCTCCGTGTGTTCCCTGTTCCCCTGACCTGATTCCCTCTCGGTACCGAACTCTTAGGTTGCCTCCCCAGGCCTTCCCAAGGTTGCCTCCTCCGGAACAGATTTGAAAAGAACTGGGTTCGAATTCCATCACCCTCCCCACAAAGATCCCAGCGCTGTCGCGATGGGGCAGGGGAAGCGAGTCGGACCCCTGCCCCTGGCAGGAGGTGGTGCGGTTCCCGTCCCCGCTAGCCCCCCACGCCCGTGGCCGTGGCCTTGGCCGCTCCGGGATCGCCGTCCTCCCGCGCCACGCAGCCCCAGCCCGAGCCCAGCGCGCCCCCCGCACCTCCGCGGCCTCCCCCTCGCCCCGCGCTGCCTCCTCACCCGGGTGAGCTGCTTGCAGGAACCAGGGCCCCCACCGGAGCGTGCGGACCCCGACTGCTGCTCGCCGCCAGCGCTGCGGGCCTCTGCCAGCCGCAGTCCCGGCGGGCGCGCGGCGAGTGGGTGGGCTGCGCGTCTGCTGGGCGCTCCAAGTCCGCCCCGGCGCGGCGGGAGGAGGGACGGGGAGGAGCGTGTGGCCGCCGGCCTCCGCAGGCAAAGGCACTCGGGCGCCGGCTCGCTCAGGCGCACCCAGCACCCTCCCCAGCGGTGGTCCCGCAACCCGCACCCTCCGGGTAATTTAACACGCGCAGGGGTGGACCTCAACGTGCTTGGGGCTGTTGCGGTGCCTCCCGATTCCTCTTCTCAGACTCCTTTCGGATCAGATCTGCTCCCTGCTTCCCTCGACATCAAGCCAACCTGGTCTGTCCTACCAATTTTCCAGTTACTCCGCTTCCCCGTGTAATCTGAAATACCGTGTCCAGTCCCCAGTTCCGCGCCCGGTGCGTTAGATCCCGACTCAGAAATGCGTGCTCTGGGCCCGGGGCTGGAAGGCTGGAGGGCTGTGTCAGTTTCATTTCTGCGTGGAGGGTTGGGGAGGGTGATCAGAAGGACATTATGACGGGAAATGCGGGAAGAAGGGGCAGTCTCGTAACTCAGTTTAATCCAGTTCCTTGGGGTTTAACTGAAATTCCCTCCTTCGTTTTCCAACGCTTTCTCCTCGATCCACTTTCTCATTAAAACGTATTCATTTAAAGCTTCATTTAGAGACTCCAGGAAAACAGTTGGAAATTCATGGACAGCCTTAGGAGAGTTCTGTATTTTATTAAATAGTGATTTTTGGGTTTTGGTGAGGTGACGTACCTGCAGATGAAATTTATTTTACTTTTATTCTGAGGACTCTGTGGTAACAGTGCACGGATTAGAGCTCGTTTCTCGCACTTAGTGGCATGACTTGCACCAGTTGTTTTTTTTTTTTTTAATCTTTTCTGCTTCTCAGTTTCCTCATCAGTAAAATGGAGCTAATCAAAATACAACAGTCAGGCTGAAGTGCTAGGACAGAGCGGGCACCTGGGGGAACATTCAGGCTGTTATCTTACTATCAGTGTCTTTAAAGAAGCAGTGACTTATCTAAACCTAACCATAGGGAAATTTTAAATAAAACTGCATCAGCTTAATGACATTTCCCTGTACTTCCTGTGATATTAATGTGATATGAATATTAATGTAAAAGGGTACATTTGCCCTACTTAAGAGATCTCTAAGGACCTCCTCTTTTTGACCTTAAGACCAAATGAAGAAGCTGGAGCCTCAGCATCACACCTATAAAGGTGACGGGCTTTGGAAGCAGGTCTAGAAGGCAGGTAGGATATATTTTGCTGGTTTCTTTCAATGCCAGCTCTATGCTTTCCCCATCAAAATCAGACCAGATTCTCGATGGAAAGACAATGGTGGCAGTTAGCAGGTTAGTGCCTGGAGAAAATACCCAGGTAAGGTTGCCAGATTTAGCAAAAAAAACAAAACAAAACAAAACAAAAAACCACCAAAACAGGATACCCAGTTAAAATTGAATTTCAGATAAACAACAAAAAGCTAATATATATATATATGTATATATATAACATATAAATATATTACATACAAATGTATATAAATATATTACATATAAATGTTTATATAAATATAAATATAGATATATATAATATATATAAGTATATTCCATTCAATATTTGGGACATACTTATACTAAAAATCTTTCATTGCTTATCTGAAGTTCAAATTTAATTAGGCATCCTTTTTTTTCTTTTTTTTTACCTGGCAAACCCAGTCTGGTGAAATTAATAAAGAATGGGGTCTCACATTCCAAAAGAATGGCAAATTTTCAAGGACATACTGATTAAAAAGTGGATCTGATGGGGATTTCATTTTAATATTATGTAGTAAAAGGGAAAAAATTGTGTACTTGTTTTTATAAGTTCTTTGTTGAGCTATTTCTTATTTTTTACTCCTGTTTCCATCAACATAGCAGTGTTTATGTACCTCTTCAATATAAGCAAAAGTGATGACTCTCCCCTCAATCAAGATATTGGATTAAATGGTAATAATGTGCTTAGTAGTATTTTCAAATAGTGTTTACTAAGGGCCAACCTTATGTTTCGTACTATTTCCGACTGTGACCTGCAGGCTAAGAAAATCACAATACAGAGTGCTATCCAATCAGATAAGCACGGGACTGTGAAAATTCAGAGGAGTGAGTTGTTAATTATCCTTGGAAAGGGTTGAAGTTGGCGATCCAAGAAAAATGAGGCTCCAACACAGATTAACAGAACAAGGGAATTCCAGGTTGATAACTAGGCCTAGCCTGGAAGCCAACCCATCCTGATAAAAATAATAAACTGGAGGAGAAAAATGGGATTCAATAAAACTGAAAGTATGATTGGGAACTTGGAAGGCCCTGCGGTTCTTAGATGGTGATGAATGCGAACAAAAAATTAAAACATTAAGTTAATTAAATTTAAAATTCAGTAAGTTAAAAGTAGGAACTCCAAGGGAGGAAATGCCCAGAAAAGGCATACTACTAGGGGGACACAGCTTATAATAGACTGATTTGGAACTACTGAGTGGTAGCTAAACACAGAGACTACATTTATTTTTTTTTTTTAAGATTTTATTTATTTATTTATTTGACAGAGATCACAAGTAGGCAGAGAGGCAGGCAGAGAGAGAAGGAAGCAGATTCCCCACGGAACAGAGAGCCTGATGCAAGGCTTGGTCCCAGGACCCTGAGATCATGACCGGAGCCGAAGGTGGAGGTCTAACCCACTGAGCCACTCAGGTGCCCCCAGAGACTACATTTAAGCTAGAAATCCAAAAATATACCTCTCTGAATGATCCAGAGAAGAGAGTGTAATCAGAGTGCTCCACTAGACCATAAGGAACAATATTCACATAATATCATAGTGGGAACATTGCTCATTGGTTTTCAACTTTCAGAATCACCTTATAAACAAGCCAAAGTAGAATTAGCCATGATTATACAAAAGAATGAAAATATGATTAATTTTTTTCAATGTGAAAATAAAGGTAGGCAGGTAGAAGGAAGTAGAAGTGGGGAGCAGGGTGGACAGTAGGTTGGGTTACTAAAGGTCTCATTTTAGAAAACTGAGAGTCAAGAGATACTAAGCTGGTAGGATGAAGAAAATGCATAGTAACGCATAGTAGTTCTGCAGAGGGGAGAGCAGCAGAGGTCCTGAGTATACAGATACATTTCTATCAGGAGGCTCAGGCAAGAGAAGAGATAGGGCCAGTGGGTTTATGAAATAAATGCTCACTTTCCTACTAGCAATTAGATAGCCAGTTCCTAAGATGATACACCAGGAAATAATAGTCTAGCATATTCTTTTGGAAACACATGGAGGTCACCAGAATTCCACCAAGAAAAATTGTTAAGAGTGATGATCTTGGGGGAACCGGACTGCGGTTGGTGTGGGCTGAGGTGGGAGGGCCTGGCTTTTCTGTTTTAGTATTTCAGAACAATTTAACTATTTGAAGTATGTGCATGATTAGAGTGATTAAGTATTTACAACTTCTGAAGAATAGGAATTTGTGAAAAGGAAAGCTTCCCCAAGAGAGTGGCATGTGTGAATGAGTAGGAGGTCACCTGGAAGAAAGAGGGCAAGAGCGTGTGGAGTGCTGGAACAGAATGTGGAACTACATGAGCAAAGGCACAGGGGCCTAAACGGGAATGATAGTCCTTGGGAACTTAACATTTAGCCGTCAGCAAGCCTTGGGTGTATAGATAGGATGGCACAGAAGAGAAGGATGACAAAGTTGGCACAACCAACAGAGTCTTCTGAGTGATGCAATGGAGTTTAGACTGTGAGCTCCTTAAGCATGGGGTCTGTGTCATTTTTATTCCCCTGCATCCAATATGGAGCCTAGCACATAGTCGTTGCCACCCCAACCCCCCAAAATGTTTTCTAAATGAATGCAAAATATCTTAGGGGCAATGGGAAACCATTGCTTACATCTGTCAGCAGTAGCATTACTGGTTTCTGGAAGACAATTTTGAACTGAAAAAAGATGCACTGAGATTGGAGAAACTGAATTAGGAGGCTCTGGGGTGAAAGGTCACGATGGTATAACTAGGACAGTGACAGTGGGAACTGAGATAGGAAGACCCACTTATGAGATATCAGCAAGGGGTGAAGGAGACAGCAGAGGGATTAGTCCACAATGGCCCTGAAATCTCCAGCTGGGGAAACCAGGTAGGTGATGGAACAATTAATTGAGAAAAGAAAGTTGGGGAAAGGAACATGTTGGAAAAGTGAGACAATAAACACAATTCTGAGTACACTGAGTTTGAAAGACCTGGGGTTGATGTTTTAAATTGGGAGTCATGAACCATTAATGGCCTACTAAATGTACTTGATGAGTTGAGACAAATTTTGTTTTAGAGTTAACTAGGCTCCAGAGGCTTGAACTCACAACCCTGAGATCAAGACCTGAGCTGAGATCACGAGTAGGATCCTTAACTGACTGAGCCACCCAGGTGCCCTGACACATATATTTTTAATGAAATGGAACATGATAGATTTCAAAGTATTTCATGTGCAGTAAAGTTAAGTGTTGTCTCCCAGAAGCTCTGTTTTCACTGTACACATACATAGGTAACTGACACAGAATGTGTTTTCTACCGTGTGTCAAAAAAATGTTTGAAAGCCTTTGCCCTGGGACACGAGGCCAAACAAGTGGTGGGTGGAGTTGACTTATTCCTGCTCAGAAGCTGTCTGTGCACATTTCTTTCCAGCTCTGTATTGAGTGACTTCACACTGGTAGCTTGAAATCAGCCAGAGGGAGGTTTCATGCCACAGAAATCAGCAAATGCTACAAAATGAGCTTTTCTTTCCCTACAGTGAGCTAGCACATCTGGGTAGAACCATCTTCTGGGCCGTTGGTTATGCAGGTCTGAAGCTCAGTCTTGGGCTCTGGGCAGAAGTCATTTATTTGGAAGTGAAAATGTTGGGAACGCGTGAGATTTGCCGTTGAGAGTTTGCAGAAGAAGCAGAGGTAGAAGACAGAATTCTGAAGAACATCACAGTCATGGACAGGAGGAGGAAG